TGCTTTCCCCTTGCTGCCGGTCCTAACTGGCCATTGACATCTCCTTTCCGGTGTGGGGTCTTTTTTTCTCTGACCACGCACTTACAAGGTGAAGGCAGTTGTCAGTAAGAGACTCTAAAGTGAAGGGCAGGACAAGAGGACACCCTCATGTCTTTGCTAGGTGTGAAACCATTTAAGGCTTTCAGTTTCAGTCTTCCTTTGCTTTTATGCCAGGGAGAATTTTTCCAGAGAGAGAGAGAGAGAAAGAGAAAAAATATCTATGGGCCCACAAAATATCTAGAAATACTTATTTCTCATTAATCCTCTTTTCCTGGGGCCGATATCAAACCCTTCCTCCAAGCACACATGTGTTTTCTTTGGTTCTAACTGAGAGCCATAGGCTGAGGTTTGGGAGGCCAACCAATTTTCTTGATGTCTCCCAGAATCCTCATCACACTCCTTGAAACCCCACTAGGCATCCTTGACTCCTGATTCATGATGGCTGTCAGACTGGCAGTAGGCACGAGTGGTGCAGGAAATAGGTGGAACTCCCAAGAAGACCAAAAGAGTAGGGGAATTACACCTCCAAATTCTCAGGCCAGATGAGAGGTGCACATGGGGGCCCAGATAAGACTTCTGAGGCAAATTTCCTTGCCTTAGGCAGCTAAGGAACCAGAGCCAACCTTAGCTTGGCCCCTTTGATGCCCTGCCTGAGTACAGTTGTTTTAATTAGGAAATAATTAGCAACCACTATGTTTGCAGACAAGCTGCCTACGCGTGCCACTGCACCTCTTCTTTCATCCTGGATATTTGGGAGTAGGGGTCTGGCTCTGGGGGCCAGCTAATCCAGAGATTTGCCTGACTTTAAGAGGATTCTGGCTTCCTGTGGTTTCTAGACTGGACTGCATGCCATTATCCTTGTGGGAGGGATGGGGGTAGGGCTGCTACTCCACGTGCCAAGGAGGGGAGAACTAAGGCCAGGGAGGTGGCCAAGGTAGGGTAAGTGTGGGATCAGGAATGTAACTTTGGGAACTAGAGAGGGAGTGGCAGAGGGAGACAAAGTCTTCCTGTCACACACTGGCCTGTCACTCACCAGGTTCTTTGTGCATCTGCTCCTCCTGTCTGTTCCCACCTTCTGCCTCCTCCTTCAGAGCCTTGGTTTTAGCATCCAGACTGGACAGAGCTCCTGTTGATGGTATTGCCCCTCTGCCCACTCTGGTGTGAAATCTCTGGTCTGCTTTGCAAGTTGCCAGTGTAGTCTCCCTGGCCCTCCCCTTCCCTTTGCCTCTCAAACCAGTCCAGCCAGTTTATAGGGGCCCAGTTCTTCATTGTGTTTTTTCCCCAACTAGCCAAGCAGCTCCAGCTTGCTCTCAGGTTTCTGCTTTTTCAGTGGACCTAGCCAGGAGTCCATTTGGGGGGTTCTATTTGAACCTACAGTGAACCTTCTTATCTCTATAGCTTTATGAAAAAAGGGAGCCAAGTGATCAAGGTCACTGAGCTGTCCTTTTCTATTTTGACCATTTGCTTTCCTTGTTACCACCAAGGGGGTTCTAATCTCTTCCTTTAGTTCTCCCCTTTTCTAAATGTACCAGTTATTTAACATGTAGCATATTGCCTGGCCCTCTGTGTATCAGTCCTTCCTCTGCACATCAAAACCACCCCACCCCCACTTCCTGCCAGAAGTCCAGGGGCCCTGTCACTCCTACTTGGAAGCCAGATGCATATGGCTGGGCCAGAGGTGATGGAATTGGGGCAGGGCAGGCTAATGAATAACTCAGGGAGAAGTGGCTGTCTGGTACAGGTGTAGTGTTCCCTCCCCCTCCACTCAGGCAGCAATAGCAGAGGCAGACAGATGAAGCTTAAATTGACTTGTATCCTGGTCTCTTCCCAGAATACAGTTGGTGAGAAGAGCCCTGGGCATGTGCCAGGGGAGAGAAAAGCAGGGTCGGGCATCTGGTGCCAGTGCCCAGGCCCTGATCATTGTTTACCTGCCTCTGGACTTATGCAAGGCCTTGTAGCTGCCCTGCTTCCTTGGCCCCGCCTCACTGTCCTCTGTAACTGAGGCGGGTAGGTTTCGCGTTTTTCCCTGTTGAATCATTTAGAGGCTTGTTTTCTTACCCACCCCAATGATCCCTCAGACCTCCTGGCCCCTGACCCACATGTGGTGGGACAGAAGGGGATTGAGGTTGGGGAGTCATTGGGACCTGGGTAGCACTTGGTAACACCTCTGCACAACTTGGCACACTCACCCTGGGGACTATGTACTGTGTAGGGCCTAGGTACGAACTCCCTGACTTGGATCTGGAAGATCCGTAAAGGTATTGACAAGACAACTGTATTATGAATAAATCATTTGCCTTCTGAGAGCTGGCAATCTAGGCACATCTGGTTCTAAGATCACAGCTGCATAGGGCTAGAAGTCCAGAGCAAGAAGTCTTGTTATGAGGGCAAGAGTCATGCTGTAGGGATCTATGGACAGATCTTCCCGTTGCTATGTGAGGTTGCCTTGGTTCAGATTAGTAAATACTTATTCATGTCTTCCATGTGCCAGGCACAGGGTCAGCTGAGAGCCATGGTCTTTGCCCTCTAGGAACTTGCAGTTAGGAGACAGAAAACAATCACTCCCATGAATATATAAAGACAAACCTACTGAGGGATGATGGTAACCCATGGCATGGATCTGACCTATTGTGAGGAAGGGTGTCAGGGAAGATGTCTCTGAGGAAGCAATATCTAAAGGAGTAGTTATGTGTAAAAGGTAACGTTTGTTTGTTTGTTTTAGGTGGTACTGGATGCACTTGCAAAACAGGCGCTCTATTGCTTGAGCCACACCTCCAGTTCTGTTGTCAGATTTGTTTGTTTGGTTTTTTTTTTGGGTTGTATTGGGGTTTGAACTCAGGGTCTTATGCTTGCTAGGCAAGCGCTCCTACCAGTTGAGCCACTCTGCCAGCCCTGTTGTCAAATTTGTGACAGGGCTTTTATGTTTAATATCATTTCTCCATTTTTTTGAAAAGTAGAACTTAAGTATAATAATTTTAAGAATAAAACTTGATAATTTGTTTACAGTTGTGTACTTAGTGTAATTAATTACCTTGTGAAACATCATTATACCCATTCTACTGATGAGGAAATGCATCAGTAATTATGCTTTGCTCAAGTTATATGAAGAATGGAACTAGAATTTTCCAAGTCTAGTCCGTTGCATTTTTTGCTGAGGGTGGTTTGGAGAACTACTTTACATCTTTCTGTCACAAACCTTTTAAAATTCTGTGGTAAAAGTTTGTGTGGGCTGTGTCCTGGGGGAGATGTATTACTTTCACAAATTTCTCAAATCCAGGCCCAGGGCCTGGATTCCCAATAAAGGGCCCCAAAGAAAAGAATGGGGTTTCTTTTTTCTGAGGGGAAGGGCTGGGAATGCTAAGAATGTTCTTCCTCAGAGTCCCTTTCTCTCTTCAAACCCTTTTTTACCTGCAACTCCACCTCTCCTATTCCATCCCCGCTCTTCTCTACTCATTCTGGTTTCCTGGCTTCCTAGAGCTTCTACAACCCCTAAAAGGAAACTTGCCAAGTTCCCTTGGCCCAGAACTCCACAGGGAAGTTGAGTTGGGCATGTTTGTTTTTCTATCTGGTAAGTTAGAGGCTCTTCCTCCAGTTTGGTGCTGGGCTCTAGTGAAGAGTAGCAGTACAGGTGAGGAAGTTGGAATTTTTATTTGCTCAAAACAGAACCTCTCCCTCAATTTCTAGTGCCAGAGCATACCTGGAACACATTCCATTTGTTGACTCTAAGCTTGGGCAATGTGGAGCAAGGAGCTGGCCTGTAGATGGCTGGAACTGGCCCTTAAATGGAAAAAATCCTACCTGTTCTGAGGCCTCTTGTGTTGGCACACATAAAACCTTATTTAAATCTCTTAGCTCTTTCCTTCCCTTCCCTCCCCTCTCCTCTCCCTTCCGCTTCCCCCCCCCCTTTTCCTCTCTCTTTTTCTTTTCTTTTTTTGGTGGGACTGGGGTTTAAACTCCTGGCTTGCACTTCCTTCCTCCCTCATTCCCTCCCTCTCCCTCCCTCATTCCCTCCCTCTCTCCTTCCCTCCTTTCCTCCCTTTTTTCCTTTCTCTTTTCAGAGGGATCAAACTCTAGGTCTTGCACATGGTAAGCAAGTGAGGTACCACTGAGTTATACCCCCAGCCCTAAATCTTTTTTTTTGAATAAGTAATACAGATACATGGTCCCAAATTCAAAAGGTGCAGAAAGATACACAGTAGAAAGCTCTTCCCTTCTGTTCTCTCAGAGAACAGGAATTTATCCCTGTCCCTAGCCCTCAGTTCCTCTGCTCTAGAGACATTAGTGCTGTTAGTTTGAGTATCTTCCCAAAAATGGGATCACACATTTTGTGTTCTTCTATATTTTATTTATTTTTTATTTTTATTTTTTTTTAATATTTTAAATGAGCTCTGGGATCAGAGGCCCCATTTTCTCCAGAGGTATCTGGTAGGCAGGCTTTGGAGTCTGCCTTCACTTGGGGGAGGCACTTGGTGATATGAGTATTATATGTATGAAAATCAAGTGAAATCTTTAAAAACTCTTAAAGACTTGATCCTCAGGGTTGTATAGAGGAAATGGAGGGTCAGTGGGTCTCAAAGTGTACTATTTGTTTGTTGTCCTCATTTCCCTCCTCTTCCCACCCCAGTTGAACCAAGGGCTTTGCACATGCTAGGCAAGTACTCTACTACTGAGTTACATTCCCAACTCTTCAAAGTGTGCTTTCTGGGGCCCACAGTGTCATCATCATCTAACTTGGTCAGAAATGAAAATTTGCAAGTCCCTCTCCAGACCTTCTGAACCAGAAACTGGAGATAGGGTCCCATATCCCATTTCTGTTGAATTCTATGAGAATTACTGTTCTATGTAGAAGAAATTGACAAGGCAATCAGCCTCACTAAAGGTGGTCAGGTGGAGGTTTCTGGTTTTTTATTTCAAGTCCCTCAGCTAACTCTCTCCTTCATCTTCTAGGATCTCCCCTCCCCCATGGAACAGTCATCCAGCATGACTGAGCCTCGGGGCCCTGTAGACCATGGAGTTCAGATTCGCTTCATCTCAGAGCAAGAGAGTGCCACAGAGATGGGCACCCTACGTCGTGGTGGGCGACGCCCCGCTAAGGATGCAAGAGCCAATACCTATGGGGTTGCTGTGCGTGTGCAAGGCATTGCTGGGCAGCCCTTTGTGGTGCTTAACAGTGGAGAGAAAGGGAGTGACTCCTTTGGGGTCCAAATCAAAGGGGCCAACAACCGAGGAGCCCCGGGAACTCTGAGCTCTGATTCAGAACTCCCTGACAATCCCTACTCTCAGGTCAAGGGATTTCCTGCCTCCTCACAGGGTAGCACATCTGATGAGGAGCCTGGAGCCCGCTGGAATGGAAGACTACTCCGTTCCCAGTCGCAGGCCTCACTGGCAGGACCTGCCTCTATGGGTCCCAGCAACAGGAGTACTAGCTTGCTGGAGCTAGCCCCACAAGAGACTTCTCCAGGAAGCACCATTGACACTGCTCCCTTGTCTTCAGTGGACTCACTCATCAACAAGTTTGACAATCAAGTTAAGGGCCAGGTCCGGGGCCGGACTGGTCGTCGCACACGGACACTGCCCCATGAACAGCGCAAGCGGAGCCAGAGCCTGGATAGCCGGCCCCAACGGGATACCCTGGAGGAACAGGAGCATCAGTCTGCCAATCACTGGACCCCTAGCACGAAGTATGACAACTATGTGGAAAGTTCAAAGCAGCCACCTCAGAGCCAGAGCCCTCTCAGTGGCTTTAGCCGTTCCCGTCAGACTCAGGACTGGGTCCTTCAGAGTTTTGAAGAGCCACGGGAGAGAGCTCAGGATCCAACCATGCTGCAGGTCAGATCCAATTCCTTCCTTCATCAGCCCTGATCTACCAGCCCTGGGACTCCCAGTACTGGGGTTTGAACTCAGGCACTTAGTAGGCAGGTGCTCTATTGCTTAAGCCATGCCTTCAGCCCTACCCTACCCTGGGACTCATTAATTCAAATAACACAGGGCAGAAAGTCTCCACCTTTTGTTTTCCATTTTATCCATTGAACAGATGATATTCACAAACATAAGGCACTTCCATGGATAGACCAAGCTATGAAATTGATATTTACAAGCACAGAATTACTTGTCATTGCCCTAGCCATTAACCATGCCTCGGTTGCCAGCAAATGCTAACTTGCTAGGTGTGCAACTTTCCTAAGGCAGGCTTAGCGCTCTTGCCCAAATTCCACATCTTTCTCTCCCACTCAGGAATGCAGATAAGTGGGGGAGCAACTTTACTGTCCGTCAAACATATCCATTCTAGTACCTCGACTGTCATTAGTAACAAATTATTTATGATGTAGCTCACAGCTGGTTGAAATTGGCTTATTGAGGAAAGTTCTCATTTGCAGCAATAGCATAGAGGTATACCCTGCTTGGACCTCTCCCTGACCTATTGCTCAGGCCTCAGCAGCAGTGTTCATCATGCTTGAAAAAGGCATCGTCTCCCAGCTGCCATCTCTACCCCATTGGAACCACATACCACATACATACTTCTGCCTAATCTTATTTCTTTTTCTTTTTTGCACTACTGGGGTTTGAACTCAGGGCATCACACTTGCTAGGCAAGCACTCTACCACTTGAGCCACACCCCCAGCCTTTTTAGATAGAGTCTCATACTTTTGCTTGGGCTATCCTCAGACCTGGATCTCCTACCTCTGTCTCATGAGGAGCTGGGATTATAGGCATGCGCCATCACATCCAGTTCACTATTTTGTTTGTTTGTTTTGTTTTGTTTTATTGTAGTTCAAATCAACTCCAGACCTTCTCCGAGATCAACAAGAGGCTGCCCCACCAGGCAGTGTGGACCATGTGAAGGCTACCATCTATGGCATCCTAAGGGAGGGGTGAGTGGGGCCTACCCAACCCTGGAGGTATAGATCTCCCTTCTTTTCCATCTAATTTCATTTCCCACCTTCCTTGCTTTTCCCCTTTGCTTACCTATTACCTGTCCTCTGCTTACTCTTGTCTGCCTTTTGTCCTTCAGAAGCTCAGAAAGCGAAGCTTCTGTGAGGAAGAAGGTTAGTTTGGTGCTGGAGCAGATGCAACCTCTGATGGTGAGTAACCTTCCCTGGGTGGGAGCAAGGGTGAGGTGTTAGGTCCTTGGGGACATCCAAGGATATGGATGTGAATTCACCTCCCATCCCCCTTTCTTGTCCCCTCATTTCTATGACAGATGGTTTCTCCTGTTTCTACTAAGGCAGGGCAGGATGAGCTCACCCGAAAAGTGGAGGAACTACAGAAAAGTCTGGATGAAGAGGTGAAGGTGAGGAGAAGTTAGTGTTGTGGGAGGGATGAGGCCATAGGGAAAACACCTTGGCCTGGAGATGGGCTAGGCTTGCTCTTCCAAGGAATGGGATAAGTACTGTTGTGTCTTGTGAGATAAGAAACAAGATTGAACTAGTGTCACCAAAGACTTTTGGGTTTCTCTGGAACTTAGGTAAGCAGAGCACACTAGGAATCTAACTATTTTCCACTCCATTTCCTTTGGGAGATCTCTTCCTGGCTCTGCCACTTATTGGCTATGTAAAGCTTAAGAGAATTACGTTCTCTGTGCCTCAAGTCTTTTCATCATCAGAATGATAGTAATAATAATACTGTCACTTATTAATTTTTGTAGTAAGTACTATTCTGAGTTAATATGTAATTGTTATAGTGACCCTATAAAGTCAGCATTCTGGACCCTTCTCTGGTGAGAAAACTGAAGATCACAGAGGTTAAGTGAATTACCTGTGATAGTGAGTTGTGGAGGAGTGAAAAAAAATTCAGGTTTCTTCTAAAACCTATGTGCCCCTTTGTAAAATGCTGCTTTTATTTCATAGTATTACCTTGTATGCAGTTGGTGTTGAATAAGTGTTGGATTGTAATTCCTTTGTTTCCGGGAAAGCAGTGCAATGTAATGGTTAAGTGCTAGGGTGTACAAGCCCAATGGGTTTAAATCTTGGAACCATTACTTGTTGGCTGTGTAATTGACCTTGGACAAGTTCTTTAAGTGTTCTAAATCTTTCTTTCCTTAACTGTGGTGATAATAATACTGTTATTTATTATTTATAATAATTTATTATTTATTCCTGTGAAACAAATTACTCCCAAAACTTAACAGCGTAAAAATGAGAATTCCCCAGTGTCTTAGCACCAACAATCTGGGTTCAGTTTAGCTGGGTAATTCTGACTTAGGTCTGTCAGTCGAGGTTTGGACTAGGGCTGTCAATATTAGAAGACTTGATTAGGTTTGGAGGATCTGCTTCTGAAATGGTTTATTCAAAGGATCATTGATTGGAAGCCACAGTTCATGACTATACAGATCACTTCATAGAGTTGCTTAAATGTTCTCACAGTATGGTGGCCTCCTTTCCTCAGAATGAATAAGTGATGCAAAAGAAAAAGTAAGGAAGAAGCTGCAATGTTTTTTTATGACCTAACCTCAGAATTTACATGTTTCTCTCTCATTTTTCTATTTGTGAGGAAGGAATCCCTAGGTCTAGCCCATACCTAACTGGGGCATAGTCAGGTTTCATCTTTTCTTTTTCTTCTTTTTTTTTTTTTTTTTTTTTTTTGTGGTACTAGGGATTGAACTCAGGGCTTTCACCTTGAGCCACTCCACCAGCCCAATTTTTTTTTTTTTGTGGTAGGGTTTTTCGAGATAGGGTTTTGCTGGCTTTGAATTGTGATCCTCCTGATCCCCGCCTCCTGAGTAGCTAGGATTACAGGCATGAGCCACTGGCGCCCAGACAGGTTTTGTCTTTGAAAGGAATGTCAATAAATTTCTGGACATATTTTAAATCATCCCACATACCTAGGCTTATTACAAGGATTAAATTGAGATAAGCTATGCATAAGGTCCTCAGTATACTGTCTGTCATATAATGTCATATAATGAATGAGAATGTATGTTAGACATTCTCATTGTGCTGAATCTTTTTGAGAATCTTTCTCTGCTCTTCACCTGCTTTTCTTTTCCAGAAGCGGCAGAAGCTAGAGCCTTCTCGGGTTGGGTTGGAGCGGCAGCTGGAGGAGAAGGCAGAAGAGTGCAACCGATTACAGGAGCTGCTGGAGAGGAGGAAGGGGGAGGCCCAGCAGAGCACCAAAGAGTGAATACAGCTAATAGCACATGTGGGGCTGTTTGGGTGCCTGGTTGGATCAAGAGGTCATCCCTCCCAGGGTTGAAGGAGACAGAGAAATCTCCAGAAGCTGAAAGGGGAAGGAATGGTTTGAACATAGGGCTTTACCTTCTCTATCTCTATCAGTAATGTAATAGTGCATGATTTGGAGTTAGACTACCTGGGTTTGTCTGTGTCTCAGGTTTTTAACCTGTAAAATAGGCTTAAAAATATTACCTGCCTAGCCAGGCACCAGTGGCTCATGCCTGTAATTCTAGCTACTCAGGAGGCAGAGATCAGGAGGATCACACAGTTTGAAGCCAGCCCTGGCAAATAGTTCACAAGACCCTATCTTGAAAACCCTATCACAAAAATTGAGCTGGTGGAGTGGATCAAGGTAAAGGCCCTGAGTTTAAGCCCCAGTACCACAAAAAAAAAAAAAAAAAAGAAAAAAAAAATTACCTACCTTACAGGTTTATTGTGAGGATTTTTTCACAATGCTGTGTGCTGTACAGGCACTGGTGTAGGCTCCTGAGGTACATCTGAGGGCCATGCAGATGAAAGGCCCTGCTCTCCAGAAGCATAGTTTCTAGTGACAGAGGACAGTAAGCCTAGTTTATAAACATAGTATGTAAGTAAATTTATAACACATGAGAAGGTGGTGAATAGAGAAGATTAAGGCAGATCAGGAGTATCATGTTATAGGGAGCAAGTTGCAGTATTAAATAAGATAGTCAGGGAAACCCTCTTTTAAGATTTAAATAGGGGATGGAGGTATAGGTCAGTGGTAGAGTGCTTGTCTAATGTGGGTAAGGCCCTGGATTCTATCTCTAGTACAGCAAAAACAAACAAAAAACCTACAAAACAACAAAAAAGCAATTTGAACAAACACTTAAGGAAGTTTAAATGAATTAATATATGGGAAGTGTTTAGCAAACTGTCTGACAGAGTGCTCAATAATGCTATCAATTACTAGGCTTCAGAACATGAAGCTCCTCCTGGACCAGGGTGAAAGGTTACGGCATGGACTGGAGACCCAGGTGAAGGAGCTGCAGCACAAGCTGAAACAGGGCCAGGGTGCTGAGCCTGCTAAGGAGGTACTCCTGAAGGTAGGGAGTGGGGTTTTGTAACCCAGCCTTAGTTTCCTTTTAGCTGGAGCGTCCTCAAGTCTGCTTATCCACGTTTCCCCTAAAGTATGGAAAGCAGGTAACTTATCATGGGTACTCGTTAGTGTGCTTTCAGGCAGACTCAAAGGTGGGGTGAGGCTACAGCCCAGAATAATAGGTTTCCTTTATACTAACTAGGCATTTTAGCGGGCAGAGGGTACCTGGTACCATGCCTAACACAAGGTGCTCAATAATCTTTTTTTTTTTTGGTGGTATTGGTATTTGAACTCAGGGCCTCACATTTGCTAGGCAGGAGCTCTTACAGCTTGAGCCACTCACCAGATTTTTTTTTTTCTCTTTTTCTTTGAGATATAGTGTCTCATAAACTATTTGCCTGGGACTGGCTCTAAACCGAGATCCTCCTGATCTCTGCCTCCTCAGTAGCTAGGACTACAGACATGAGCCACCATGCCTAGCTCTCAATAAGTTTTTTTTGTGTGTGTGTGGTACTGTGCTTAAACTCAGGACTCACATCTTGAGCCATTCCACCTGCCCTTTTTTGTGAAGGGTTTTTTTTGAGATAGGGTCTCTTGAACTATTTGCCTGGGCTGGCTTCAAACCACGATCCTCCTGAGCTCTGCCTCCTGAGTAGCTAGGATTACAGGTGTGAGCCACTGGTGCCTGGCTCAATAAGTATTTTTTGACTAGGACTGGCAGATTAACTGTTAGAGTGCCTGCCTAGCAAGCATGAGGCTCTGAGTTTAAGCCCCAGTACTGCCAATTTTTTTTTAACTAAATGGATGAATTAATTAACAGACAATGAATCTTGATATGTTCACCCCTGTATTTCCACCTTCCCTTTCCCTAGGACCTGTTAGAGACCCGGGAACTTCTGGAAGAGGTCTTAGAAGGAAAACAAAGAGTAGAGGAACAGTTGAGGCTTCGAGAGCGGGAGTTGACAGCTCTGAAGGGGGCCCTGAAGGAGGAGGTGGCCTCCCGTGACCAGGAGGTGGAGCATGTCCGTCAGCAGTACCAGCGAGACACAGAGCAGCTTCGCCGAAGCATGCAGGACGTGACCCAGGCACGTAACAAGAGCAGGGGCTGTGAGAGAAAGGGACTGCTGAGGAATGGGTCTGCCTTAGGATCATATATTTTTGGACTTTTCCTCTAGGAACTCTCCCTAGAGGACACTTGTGAGATGTAGTGATAAGCTTGGCCAGGAAACCTATAAGTACAGAGGGAGGGAGCATAAGCCACAAGTACTTTAAGGATGTGTGACCAAAGTTCTATAGGGAAATAACTGGGGGAGGCTTCCTGCAGATGACAGAGGTGGGCTGTGACTTGCTAGCATTATATCAGGTACTACCAGGGTATTGGGGTGTAGCCAGCATGGTGCCCTCTAAACTTGAGCCTCCCCTCTTGCACACTTCCATTTTGCCTTGAAGTGAGCCTGCCTGAGTCTCCTGGTGCTCATCTCTCCCTTCCCTAGGACCATGCAGTGCTGGAGGCTGAGAGGCAAAAGATGTCAGTCCTAGTGCGGGAGCTGCAGAGAGAGCTAGAGGAGACCTCAGAGGAGACAGGGCATTGGCAGACCATGTTCCAGAAGAACAAGGAGGAGCTGAGAGCCACTAAGCAGGAGTAAGGACCTTGTGCCTCTTCGGGGTACTTACTCATAAGTCTTGTATCCTGCCTTTCTACCATGCAGTGCTTTTACTCTCCCATTTCCCAAACTGTCCTTCTCTATGTCCGTCTTCCTCCTTTACAGTGGGTGCCCAGTACATTGGTCTCCAGGGAGCTGGTTTTCATTGCCCTACAAACCTCTTCTAGGCAGGAGGCCTGACCCTGTTCCTTTTTCCCTTTATTTCACCTTGCATGTCTCAGACTCCTGCAGCTGCGGATGGAGAAGGAGGAGATGGAAGAGGAGCTTGGGGAGAAGATGGACATCATGCAGAGGGACTTAGAGCAGGCCCGAGCCAGTGCTAGAGATATTCACCAGGTTGAGCAGCTCAAGAAGGTACTTGGGAGTTGGGGAGCAGAATGGCAGGTTGGGATGATGGGCACCTACCTCTTATCCACAGGTCCTCAACACTAGCAGGGCTGTCTCCATGTGCTCGGTTTTCAGACCTTATCCTCTAGCTCAGTTTTCTTTCTTTCTAGCACAGCCGGGCTGGTTTCCTCATTAGTGATAAAGGTTTGTAATGGAAAAGGCTCTCAGCGGCCAGGTTGGCCTATAGCCAGAGGCTGCTGACTGACTCCCAAGAGACTTCATGGGTAGCAGCATTTAGGTGGATTTGTGAAACTCCAGGGTCATTTTTGCAAGCTCAGAAATTTAATTTGGTCAGCATAGCAAAAGCTGCTCTTTGGGGGAATTGATTAACTATATGATGAAACAGATGTTTATGATTAGAATGTCCATTTATTAATTTACAATGAGAAATACAATCACATGGACTGGAATGCTTGTGTTGGCATGGCCAGCTGACCTACATGGGAAGCCAAATTGTAATCTGAAGGCTTTTCAGAGAGTATACAATCTGGAAATGGGGAATGAAAGGATCCTGGTGTTTAAAGTGTCCATCTCCCCAGCCTTGCTGGTGGGCAGTAACACTGAGAGTATGCAGTCACTTTGGTATTTTTTTTTTTTTTTTGGCAGTATTGGGGTTTGGACTCAGGGCTTTATGCTTGCTAGGCAAGTACTCTACTACTTGAGCCATGCCTCCAGCCCTCTTTTTTTTTTTAAAAGTCAGTCCCTTCACAGCTGGACACCGGTGGCTCACTCCTGTAAACCTAGCTACTCAGGAGGCAGAGATCAGGAGGCTTGCAGTTTAAACCAACCCCAGGCAAATAGTTGGCAAGACCATATCTAGAAAAAAACCCATCACAAAGAAAAGACTGGTGGAGTGGCTGAAGGTGTAGGCCTTGAGTTCAAACCCCAGTACCACAACAAACAACACAAAACAAAACAAACAAACCCCTTTTAATTATGCATGGGTAATATTTTGTAAAAATGTCACAAATAATAAGGTCATAAAATTGAAGTGAACCACCAATAATTTCTTCATATTCTTGGTGTTTTAAGAAGACAACTAATTGTTTTTGGATGGCTTAGGTAACTTAGAAAATCTTTTCATTAGTTATAGGAAACTGGCATGGCTTCCTGAAGATCCTTTTGGCTTTACAGTTCATTGATTTGCTATCTTAGACATGTAGTAGGTGCTCAGTTTACAAGTATTAGTTAATCAATGCTTGTTTATTACATTTCTACTATAAAACTGCCTAATCACAATTAAAATAATTATATTTTTAAATGAGTAAAGAAACAGCTATACATGATTGTTTTCAAGATAAATAAAAACCTGAGATTATATGAAATATTTGGTGGAGGAAAACATAAATGTTAACCAAACATACTTTGGTCATTATTGTGCTATTTTATGAAACTTAAAATTCTGTTTTCCAGAAAAATCTCAAAACAATGGGAAGTTAAAATTACTCTTTTTTTTTTTTTTTTTTATTTTATTTTAAAATTTTATTCATATTAAAATTACTCTTAAATTTTAATTGTTTTTTGTTGAGACAGAGTTTTGTGCTATGTAATTCAGGTTGGCCTAAAACTCGAGTGCTGGGATTATAGGTGTATATCACAATGTCAGGTTCTTGTTTCGGTTTTCAACAGGGGCTTGTGTAGCCCAGGCTGGTCTGAAACTAGAGCTCCTCCTGCCTCGGCCTCATGAGTGCTGTAACCACAGGTGTGCATTACCATGCCTGTCTTACTTAGTAATTTGTTTTGGTGGTACTGGGGTTTAAACTCAAGGGCCTACACCTTGAGCCACTTCACCAGCGCTCCCCGTTTTTTTGTGATGGAGTTTTTCAAGATAGGGTCTTGTGAACTATTTGCCTGGGTCGGCTTTGAACCAAGATCCTCCTGATCTCTGCCTCCTGAGTAGTTAGGATTATAAGCATGAGCCACAGGTATACCCAGCACAGTATGTTGTTTTGAAATTAACAAATATCAAGGATCATCTGAAGTCTGTTCACTATCTTAGCTGACACAATGAACTTGGACAATCCTCTGAAACAATCTCAGGTGACTTAATATTTTGTGTAAAATCAAAAACAGTAAGTAGTGTTTCATCTATCTCAAATAATAAGTATATTTCTTTTTTGTTTGTTTGTTTACTGTCCAGAGTCTTTTATTTTTTGACATCCTTTATGCCATAAATTCATAGGGAATAGGGTCCAGCAGCTCAGGCTTCTTTCCAGTGGTTCTCACAAAGTGTGCTTGTCTGGGTGGAGCAGGCTGACGCTTCAGCTGAACCCAGGTTCCTTTCTCATTGGCTTCTTTCTTTGTTTGATCATTTTCCTTCATGCGTTTCAGGAAGCTGTCTTAGCTCTTAGAGTGCTTACTGTGCTCAGTACACACACTAATTCTCTTGGCAAGAATCTTGCCCTTAACTCGCTAGTTCGTAACAATGCCAACGGCATGCTGGGTAACACTGACTCTTCTTCCAGTTTTCCCATGGTAACATTTGTGGGGCATTCATTTTTGAACAGTACCATTCTCTTGATATCTACAATATCATCCTTCTTGTACATTCACATGTATGTGGCTAAACGAACAATTCCATGTTTCCTAAAAGGACTAGAAAACATACATCGGGTTCTTCTCCTCTTTCCCTTTGTGTTCGTCATTTTGGCGAGTTACTGGAAGATGGCAGTTCTGGCTGAAAGGCTAATAAGTGTATTTCTATCAACTGGTTAATCAATAAACAAAATATTCAATAGGAAAACAGAGTAGCCAAGTCCAACTTAAACCATACCATGTGTTATATTTCTTTTTTTCTTGTTTTAGGTGTTGTGCTGAGTGGGGATACATTATGGCATCCACAAAAAATATTTCTTTTTTTTTTTTTTTTGGTGGTACTGGGGTTTAAGCTCAGGGCCTTGTGCTTTCTGGGCATGCACTCTATAAATGAACCACATCTCCACCCTTTTGTTTTTGTTATTTTTTTGAATAGTGTCTTGCCAGGCCTCCTGGCTTGGGATTCTATTTATGTGCATAGCTGGGGTGACAGGTGTGTGCCACTGTACCCAGCTTTTATTAGTTGAGATGGAAGTCTCACAAACTTTTTGCTCAGACTGGCCTGTAGCCTCAGGGATACAGGCATGAGCTACTGCTCCTGGCTTACCATTTATCTTCATAATTAGTTTTGTTAGTGTTTTACATTGTGAACTCACTACATGTGACATAACCCTTCAGCCTAATTATGATTATTTCTGAACTTCAAAAACAACTAATAGCTTAAAGAGAACCAGAACTCAAAATTTTTAAAGAATACTCATTCCATCTTTTCATAATATTCACAAACAAGAAACAGATCATATATTCATAAATAAGTGAATAAACTGTGAGTTATTTACACAAGGAACTACAACTACTCAGTAATAAAAAGAATTACTGATACATACAACAACATGGATGAATCTCAAAACATACAGAGTGAAAGAAACCAGAAATAAAATAGTGCAAGCTGTATGATTCCATTTATATGAACTTCTAGAACAGGCAAAACTTCTGTAGGGTGGTGGAAATCAGAATAGTAGCTGCTGTTACAGATGGGGGGTTAGCATTGAAAAGGAAGGGACATGAGGGAACTTTCTATGGTGATGGAAATACATTCTATCTTTTTTTTTTTTTGTGGTACTGGGGCTTGAACTCAGGGCCTTCACCTTGAACTACTCCACCAGCCCTTTTTGTGAAGGGTTTTTGCAAGATAGGGTCTTGTGAACTATTTGCTCCGGCTAGCTTTGAACCATGATCTTCCTGATCTCTGCCTCTTGAGTAGCTAGGATTACAAGTGTGAGCACCAGCGCCTGGCCAATACATTCTGTCTTGATGTAGGTATATATTTATCAAAACTGATGGAATGGAATTCTACACTTAAGGCTTGTGATTTCAGTGTCATAAATAAAGCTTTGGGTTGGGGATGTAGCACATGGTAGAGTGCTTGCCTAGCATCTGCAAGGTCCTGGGTTTGATCCCCAGAGCTAATAAAACAAAAACTAAGATTCAGTTTAAAAAAATAATGGCAGTCTTCCTAAAGTATCTTAAAAATTTTTTAAAGGTTTTTTTGTTTGTTTTTGGTGGTTCTGAGGTTTGAACTTAGGACTTTGTGCTTGCTAGGGAAGCACTTTATCACTTGAGCCACACTCCCCAGCCCTGAAGTATCTTAAATTTAAAAAAATGTGATTGAAGAAATAAAAACAACCCTCAATTGAGAACCTTGGGCAGCCAATGTTCTAACCCTAACCCTAACATGGCTGTGTTTAATGAAAAGAAGGGGAGAATTCTGGGGTATAAACTTAAACTCAGTGGTAGAGAATATGCTTAATATGTAGAAGGCCATGGCAGAGCTCATATTTTAATTTTCTTTTTAAAAGAAATTAAAGTTGTACCAGTATCGTGTAACATTTTTGTTTTCTGTATATTTTTTTAGGCAACCATTCTTATTTTAGCCATATGTTCATCTACTCTTCGTTTACATAATAGCCTTTTTTTTTTTGATGGTACTGGGATTTGAACTCAGAGCTTCTCGTTTGCCAAACAGACACTCTACTGCTTGAGCCACACCTTCAGCCCTACATAATAGGTCCCACCTCATCAGTGGTTGAACTTGGGGTCTTGTGCTTGCTAGGCAGGCATTCTACCACCTGAGCCACACTGCTGCCCCCCCCTCCCCACATAATAGTTTTTGTTTTTGTTTTTGACAGTACTGGGGTTTGAATTCTAGGCCTTAAGCTTGCCAGGCAGGTGCTCTGCTGCCCGAGCTATTCCACCAGTCTCATATAATAGTTTTTAGCGGTTATATTTCATGTACTATGAAACTTCTCCTTTGAGAGTGTATAATTCTGTGGTTTTTGATATATTTACTAAGTTATGAAACCATTACCACTATTTAGTTACAAAATATTTTAATCATCTCAAATAGACACCCTATGACTATTAACAGTCATAGTCTTCCCTCACCCTCCAACCACTAATCAACTTTCTGTCTCTCTCTGGATTTGCCTATTCTGGGTATTTTGTATAATTGTAGTTCTACAATAAGTGGTTTTCATTTCTTACTTCTTTCACCTGGTGTAAAGTTTTCAAGTTTTAACCATTCGGTAGCAAGTATCTTCATTCCTTTTTATGTATGAATAATATTCTACTTTGTGACTGTACCACATTTTGTCCATTCATCAATTTATGGACATTTGGATCACCTCTACATTTGGCCTGTAATGAATAATGCTGCTAGGAATATCCACAAACATGTTTTGTATGAGTTAATGTATTTTTAGTTCTTTTGATGAAGAGTGCAATTGCTGGGTCATGTGTTAAGTTTATGTACAACTTTTTGTGAAACTGCCAAATTGTTTTCCAAAGTGGCCACTTCATTTATGTTCCCTCACACAACGTGTGCGAGTTTCTGTTTCTTTACCTTCTGAAGAACCCTTAGTCTGGCTGTGTCTCCTCAACCTTTTCCTTTCCTTCTAGGAGCTGCACCGGACACAGGAGGAACTTAAGGAGCTACAGGCAGAGCAGCAGAGCCAGGAGGTGGCTGGGCGACACCGTGACCGGGAGTTAGAGAAGCAGCTGGCAGTTCTGAGGGTTGAGGCTGATCGAGGCCGAGAGCTGGAAGAGCAGAACCTCCAGCTACAAAAAACTATTCAGCAACTGAGACAGGACTGTGAAGAGGCTTCCAAGGCAAGGGGAGTGGGCCCAGGACTTAGGAGGTGGAGGCTGAGGGGTCTGGAGGGCTGAGAAGCCAGAGGGCATGGAAAGTTACCTATGATGGGTATGTACCAACCAGCTATGGCCTTAGGTGTGTGATGAAAAGCAGGATTTGGCAGGGGAGGCACCCACTGCATCTGTATAAGGGTGGGATTCTCAGGGAAGCCCCTTGTTGGGGCCACTTCTCTTTAAGCCTGGCTCTGGTCTGGTGGGCTCTCCATGGGCCCTCAGTGGGTCAGCTTTGCTGGGCATGTGTGTTCAGTGATCCAAGCCCCATGGTCTGAGCCACTGCTCCCAACTGCCCGCAGGCCAAGCTGGCAGCTGAGAAGGAGGCTGCAGTGCTGGGGCAGCGGCAGGCAGCAGTGGAGACCACACTTCGGGAGACCCAGGAGGAGAATGATGAATTCCGCCGACGCATCATGGGTCTGGAGCAGCAACTGAAAGAAGCTCGAGGCCTGGCGGAGGGTGGGGAAGTGGTGGAGGCACGACTTCGGGACAAGGTGCAGCGACTGGAGGTCAGTGCTTTTGTCCATAGTGTCGGCTTCCTCATGGTCCTCTCTATGCTCAGCCCTGCCAAATAGTCCCTTGGTAAATACTCAGCCGTCAGCTTTAGTTGGCTGGTAGTGTGCTTCTTTTTTGCCTTCCCAAATCCTCTGTTAACTTTGGGTTTATTTCCTGGAATATACTTTAGTGTGAATGTTTCAGACTTTGCACTGGTATTCTTGTCTCCCATCTCCCACCTTTTGCTTGCTCTCTGTGTCTTGATTTTTTTTGCTGGTTCCCCTGAGCCTGTTTTCATGGCCTGCTTTATTCATAAATACCTTCCTTCCTCCCCCCCACCTCCCATCTATCCACCTGCAAATACCTTGAGACAAAGCTTTGCCTCTTCCTAGTCCAAACCTTCCCCCCACCCCCCACCCACTTCTCCCCTTTCCTAGGCAGAGAAACAGCAGCTAGAGGAGGCACTAAATGCAGCTCAGGAAGAGGAGGGAGCCTGGTATCAGCCAAGCGGGCACTGGAGATCCAGCTGGACGAGGCCCAGCGTGGGCTGACACGCCTGGGGCACGAGCAGCAAGCACTGAACCGTGCCCTAGAGGAGGAGGGAAAGCAGCGAGAGGTACTCCGGCGCAGCAAGGCAGAGTTGGAGGAACAGAAGCATTTGCTGGACAGGACTGTGGACAGACTCAACAAGGAGGTGGGAACAGGAGGCCTGGGTCCTCAGTAAAAGGCCCAGCTCATACAGAAGCTTGCCTGGGGGATGGATTTGGGGTGGGTCAGGATGGTTTGCTTTCCTCATGTATAGAGTTGGGAAGGCCAAGGTCTAATCTTTCAAAATGGTGTCCTTATCTCCCCTCTGTGTTTTTGCTCTTCCCCCCATATTTTGTTCTTTATGGTCCTCATTTTTAGAGAATATTTCCTAGGATTCTGCTTTAGAAGTCTATAAGACCTAAACAAAAGAATCTTACTTAGTAGAGTTTTAAGCTGGGGGAAGAGGGACAAGGAAATCGCTTTTTGCTGGCAAGGTTCTGCTCTCAGTCTGTTACTTTATAAAACAAGACCAAACACCTAACATATCAGTTCGAAAGTACACATTTTGTCATTTGTCAATTTTGAAAAACAGTACACATTTTATCATCTCTGAAATTGGACTTCAGTTCATTTGGCAGAATTTTCTTTCTTTGTGGTACATCTTATCATCATTGACATCTTGGGTTTGCTGAAATATGGCCATCAAAGGTTTACTTTGTATTATGCACTATTGTAGTACTTTATGTAATTAACATAATTCTCACAACTGATACTGTTATTATCTCATCTGTGATGGGGAACTGAGACCCAGAGAGGTTATGTAACTTGCCTTTGCCTTTGGGTCACTAGTATGTGGTAGAGCCAGGATTTGAGGCCAAACATCTAAGAACCATACTAAGAACCTATGCCCAGGAAAAAAACAGGAGAGGGCCGCTTGGCAAGAAGAATGCTCTTGGGATATCGGCCTGGAGAAGGGACAGAACATCTGTTAAAGGGCTGCAGCACAGTGTTTGCCTAGCATGCGTAAGGCTCTGGGTTCGATTCCCAGTACTGAAAAAAAAAAGGTTTAGTGATGAAAACTTTTCTCTGCATTTTAGCTGGAGCAGATTGCGGATGACTCCAAGCAAGCCCTGCAGCAGCTCCAGACCCAGCTGGAGGATTACAAGGAAAAGGCCCGGAGGGAAGTGGCAGATGCCCAGCGCCAGGCCAAGGATTGGGCCAGTGAGGCAGAGAAGAACTCTGGGGGGCTGAGCCGGCTTCAGGATGAGGTAGGAGCCTCCATGGTAGGAGGATGAGAACCATCTGTTGTTCTTGAATTTGAAGGTATCTATGTCTTAAATGAACCTGTGGCCTGGGGTCCTGGGGCTCAGGCTTAAGTACAGTGACTTGCAGTGACATCCTGAGGTGGAGAGGGTAGAGGGAGTCATCCATTCTAGGTACAGACAACAGGGCATGCATCGTCTATAGAGTAGTGGCTTTCAAACTCTGCTGTATATTAGACTCATTTGGAGATATTTGAAACAATCCCAATGCCCAAACTGTCCCATATTACTTAGATCATAATCTCTAGTAGAGATCAGTATATTTAAAAGCCCAGGTAGACAGGCACAGTGGCACACACCTGTAGATCCAACTACTTGGGTGGCTGAGGCAGGAGAATCCCTTGAGCCCAAAAGTTCAACAACAGCCCAGGGTGACAAAAGCCTAGGGCTACCCTGTCTCAACTGCAACCCCATTCCCCAAAGTAAACCTCAAGTGATTCCATTTGTATAGAAAGTTTTAAGATAATAAAGGAAATGGACTAAAAGACAGTCTGCTGTTAGTGTCATCACTATGCACTGGCATTTCTAAAGAATGTCAGTGATAAATATTTCTCCCCTCAGAATGCTCCCACCGCTCAGCCCCACCTTCATGCTATTCTTCATGTTTTCCTTTGGCCTAGATTCAGAGACTACGACAGGCCCTGCAGGCAGCCCAGGCTGAGCGGGACACAGCCTGGCTGGATAAAGAGCTGTTGACCCAGAGACTACAGGGACTGGAGCAAGAGGCAGAGAACAAGAAGCGCTCCCAAGATGACAGGACTCGGCAATTGAAGAGCCTGGAGGTAGGGACATTGGGGGGTGGATCCTGGACCATAGTGCAGGTGGGATTACTGTGGGGAAAGGTGCCAGGGTACTCTAAGCCTCTTTCTGTACTAGAGATTAAAACTAGCAGCCACAGCTGATGGGTTTTGCTGGGCTACAGTGTTTTAAGCAACTTTAAATTAAATGCCAATGTTGAGAAATGAATAGATGCCACATAAAAATGTGGATTTCTGTCTTTTGTATCTGGAAAATGTTAATACTGACCTTCTAAACCTGAGTTCTGCATGGCAACAGTTGACTGGAGCCTTGTAGTGGCAGTGGGTTCTGCCCTTGATAGTGAACAGTGGCCTTCAATTTGCTGTGTTTAAGAATAATAATGATAATAGTAGTAACAAATATTGTATTGTGTGCCAGGCACTTAAGACTCCTTTCATCCTCAGCATATCTCTGTCAGGTAGTTTATGTATTATTTTTATTTATTATTTATTTTTTATTAACTTATTATTGTACTGGGGGTACACTGTGACATTTACAAAAGTGTTTACAATATATCTCAGTTAAACTTACCCCTTCCATCATTCTTTTTTATTTCCCCCAGGTAGATAGTCTTATTTTGTCCATTTTACAGATGAGGAAAATTGAAGCAGAGAGTGATTAAATAACTTGCCTTTGAGTCTATTGCTAGGAAGTGGTAGATCTGATTTTCAAACCCAGGTAGTCTGGCCCAAGTCCATACTCTTAGCCTCTACATGGTATTGCCTGGCTCAAATTTACTCCCTCAGTCTATACTTTGATGCTTCCATTCTGAGTCTTTCCATCTTGATTTTGGCCTAGGTACTTGAGTTTCTCTCTGTTTTCTCATTAGGGAAATTGAGTTCTCCAATGAGGAATTGATTCCTGGGTTTGCCTTCCTGCTATGACCAGAGCTTGTCCCACCCCCTCTCCTGATGCCACATCTGGTCAGCAGAGGGCACTAGCTCCATGGTGGCTCTGGCAGGGACAGACAGGGAATACAAGGTTCCTGGCACATACAAGAGCAAAAAGTCTGTTGAGGCCGGAGTTTGAGAGGACTCTGGTCTGAGTTTAGCCTTACACTGTCCAGCACTTGGTGCAGGGCAGAATTAACCTTTTGTTTTTCTGCAATAGGAAAAGGTCTCACATCTAGAAGCAGAGTTAGATGAAGAAAAGAACACTGTGGAGCTGTTAACAGACCGGGTGAATCGTGGCCGGGACCAGGTGACCCTTCTTTGCCCCTCATCATATCTACCCAGGACTATGTAGCCTCTGGGCCCTCTCAAAAGCTGTTCTATCCCCTCATCTTTCATAATCTGGAGAGTTCTGGCTGCAGAATCTTTGTGTGGCTGAGTCTCTTTCGGGGTCTTGTCTGCTTTGGGAACGGTTGGCAGATTCCCTCAGAAAGAAGCCAAGAATTTGAGTGGAGGAAGAATTCTTCGTGGCCCAAAGTACTCTGATCTGAGCCAGGGCTGCTTTGGTTAAGAAGGGATGTTAGTTACTATGGAACTAAGGAAGCCCTATTTCAGTTTTCTGGCTCCTTCCATTTTAATAGATAGTGATTTCTTAGTTGCCTAGGCATTTTTTGGGATTCGAGGTTCAGAGAGCATCCTCCTGGGCTCTGCCCCACTTGGCTCAGTTTGCTGGTTCATTCTTAGCCCTCCCCAAGTCTAGTTCTTCTCACCCATTCCCACTAGGTGGATCAACTGAGGACAGAGCTTATGCAGGAGAGGTCTGCTCGGCAGGACTTGGAGTGTGACAAAATCTCCTTGGAGAGACAGGTGAAAGAAAGGAGACTTTGGGGGATAAGCCTGGGTAGAAGACCTAATGGGGTTTTAACCTTGGAGGCTTCCCATTTTTCACAGAACAAGGACTTGAAGACCCGATTGGCCAGCTCAGAAGGCTTCCAGAAGCCCAGTGCCAGCCTCTCTCAGCTTGAGTCCCAGAATCAGTTGTTACAAGAAAGGCTACAAGCTGAAGAGAGGTGACATGAACCTGTCCTTCTTCCCTCCCTCACTTCCATCCCTCTGTCTGGGTTTTTCTCCTGTGGGCCTTCCTCCATCTTCTACCTTAGATCTAGCCAACTTGGCTTTATCTTCAGGGAGCCCCTTTTCTCCTGGTTCAGAGCAGACAGAGTTACAGAAATTCTGAGATGTGAAAGACCTCTATCTCCCTTTTTCTTTGGATCTTCCCTGGATGCTTCCCAGTCAATTGGTGGGGCTCAAGACGGAGAAAAGTTCTCAGAGTCAGTAAGGGGCCAAGTAAAGATTCGCTTAGAAATTGCAGCAGCCATAGACATCTGTCTTCCTCAACCTGTTAGGGAGAAGTCAGTTTTGCAGTCCACCAACCGAAAACTGGAGCGAAGAGTTAAAGAGCTGTCAATCCAAATTGATGATGAGCGGCAGCATGTCAATGACCAGAAAGACCAGGTGAGGACATGACACCGTAGAGCCAAGCAGTCATGAGGCAAGTATATATTATGCATTTGCTTGAATGCCAAGGAAGGCCTCTATCTCCCATAGGTCTTCCAAACTTAGAACTTCCTCATATAAGGACAGAGAGATTAGATTGAAAAGACTAGACTAATCATAGTTAGCCTATGTATTGAGTGCTCGTTTCTCTTTCTAAATGTTATATGTATATTAATTCATTTAATCCCTAAAATAACTAGGGAATTTACCCACGGTCACACCATTTTTTAGGGGCAATTATCCTTTGTTGGGATTGTTACAGGGGAAGTCTCAGGCCATGGTAGTAGTTGCTTTTCTAATATGGGGACTTGGTAACCTTCTTAGCTAAGTCTGAGAGTGAAGGCTTTGAAGCGGCAGGTGGATGAAGCAGAAGAGGAAATTGAGCGTCTGGATGGCCTGAGGAAGAAGGCGCAGCGTGAGCTGGAGGAGCAGCATGAGATCAATGAACAGCTCCAGGCCCGGATCAAATCCCTGGAAAAGGACTCTTGGTATGAGCTTCCTCTCTGCACCCTGCTCTGAAGGGGCAATAGTTGGATAAAGAGGATAAGGAGGAGAATCTCCAAGATGGGAATGTGTGGTCACTTATTCCTGGCTGGAAGCCAGTAGAATTATTTCTTACTATCTCAGCCTCTATCTCCCTAGATCTCTGATTAGTGGGGGATGTTGTGAGTAGCTTTAGGCCTTCAAAGAATTAATCTCTTAGTGTGAAAGGGTGGCTGTCTCAATCTATTCCCCATTCCTTACTAGTATTCTCTCTGACTCAGGCGCAAAGCTTCCCGCTCAGCTGCTGAGTCGGCCCTCAAGCATGAGGGGCTGAGTTCTGATGAGGAATTTGACAGTGTTTACGACCCCTCATCCATCGCATCATTGCTTACGGAGAGCAACCTGCAGACCAGCTCCTGTTAGTTCATGCTCTTCAAAGATCCAGAAACAGACTTGAAGCCTATCCCAGCCATCCCTGCTCTGCCTTACTCTGCCCTGCCTGCCTTGGATTCTTTTTTCCTGTGGGGGACCCAGTTATTCAGACCTAAGCAAGGGAGGGATCTGGGTGATGGAGATGAAAAAGACCTGAGCAATAAGCTGGTGGGTAGACTTGGCTACCCACTAGAGGAGTGGGTATGCTGAGCCCTTCCTGTTAATGCCGACCCTTCCTTTATTTTTCTTACAGTGGAAGAATGATGAGCATATAGACTGAGGGAACTGAGAAGGATAGGAAAGGATAGAAATTGCCATGTATATAAAGCTTTATTTCTTTATCCCTTAACCCTACAGCTCAGGGAAATACCCGATGCTATTTGCTTCTGGATTCCTGCAACCTGTTTTCCTTCCACCCTGGAGCAGGGTGAGGGAAACATTACGGGTAATGGACACGCAGGCGTGGCTCTACCCATTTATCAGATGCTTCTGTTTGCACAGTCATTGGTCCACGTGGTAGTCCTTATACCTGTTTAATTCTTATATTTTTGTCTTCTCCAAGCCAGCAGGTCCAGGGGATTCTGCATCCTCGTCCTTCACTATTCCTACCTTGCTTCTTTCCTCTCAGTGCCTTAGCCTAGCCAGGGTTAGGAGATAAGGTTTCTCTTCTTGCCTTTTATACCTGCACACTCATACCTCTCCAAAAACCAGCCTTCTCCAAACTGGGGCCCTTAGCCTATCCTGCTTTCCCAGTAACTGGTCCAGAAACTTACTGGCCAGTGAGTCCTGGGAGAGGGCCTTTGGTAGGGCTATTATAAAGTGTTGGGGGTCTGGTTCTGCTCAGGGTTTCCATCCTTTGCTCTCTCCCTCTGTGAACCTGGATGTTTATAAGGTGGTTACACCTGGGAATCCTGACAACTGTTAGATAAGTTCCAAAAGCAAAGGAGTCAATCCCTGTGGCCTTCCTGTGGCTTCTCTGACCAGATGTGCTCATGAAACCAAGAGACCCTCACTTTCTCAGAACTGGGCCCTGATTCAGGGATTTGCCTGGGGTAAGAAGCTGACTTGGTAGAGATGGGAAGATGCAATGGAGAATGTATTCTTCCTTTGGCTTTTGGGGAGTGCCAAGCCCCAGTTGGGAGGAGGTATGATTCACCTCTTATTTCCAAAGCAAGTGCTGTAGGAAGCCTACAGAAGAAGGCTGTTCTAAAAAAAAAAAAAAAAAAAGGCTGTTCTCACCAATGATTTGTAATTTCATGATTAAAAAATTTCTGTATTCTACTAATCAGATTTTTTCTCCCATGCAATTCAGCCCTGGTTTTATTTTAAATTACATATTAAAATTATATCTATATTGAAGTCCTTGTCCTTTTTTTCCTGGCTTATTTTGGAGGTCCAAGTTTTAGGAAGAAATCATTTTAAATATACAGCTTGAAGGCTTCACCTCATTTGTCAGAGGTCTCTATAGAAATCAGAATGGGTGTAGGGAAACTGCATTGTGTTTATAGCAGCTCCATTCTCTCCTGAACAACCTCTGGGAATGGCAAAGCCATTCAATGGTGAGAGGGAAACAGACCCAAACTGGATATCCCCAGCATTTACCTCCCAGGCATAGAGATTTGCATCCATTTCTAACTGACAGGAGACACAATCCCTACCTGGGAGGTAGGGAAGTTTCTGTCCTCTGTCTTTGTGTTGGCTTGAAGAGGCAGTTAGCTGTTCAAATAGCCATTGCCAAATATAGGGGTCCTGCCCACTCCAGAGTGGGGTCAGATCTCCTCCTGACAGATTCTGCATGCTGTCTATGTGGACCACAGACCATTGGAAGTCATCTGCAAGAACAGCTGGACTGAGAAGAAACTCCAGAGTTCTGCTTGGCCTACCCTCTCCTAAATACTGACGATCCCAGCCAAGGCTTGGGAGCAAATGCCATAAGTAAAGTTGAGACTCATTCTTTCTCTAGAATACAGATTCCTTTTAAGGCAATGTGTCCCGCCTCTCCCCACCATATAAGGATAGCTTTGATATAATAGCTTCTGCAAAACAAGCCCCACCCAGGGCCTAGCTAGCTTTGACTTTGGCCTGGGCGTCTTGCCAGGGAAGGGCACCTGCCAGACTGGCTTAGGCTAGTCTGAGTGAGCTAGCCCGTGGTGCCTACAAAGCCTATGGCAGGCTTACGTAAAGGTTGAGGAGCGTGCATGGAAGTGTGTGCAGTTCTCAACTCCTCAGTCTCTACAAATGACACAAAAGGTGATTCCCTCTAACCTACACTAATCTTGGAGAGTTGGAGACAAGATGAATGAAGAATGTTGAAATACAACCACATAGCCTGGACAAAACTACAGTTAAGCAGCCTCACTCAGGTCACTCCTAAGCCTCACCTTTATGTAAATCTGAGCCAGCACCAATGGGGTGTGCCCGGAAACCTCTTGGTACCGCCCACCTAGCTCTTTCGCTAGCTCTCGATGGCTAATAGCGTCCTGAGGGCGTGGTCAACCTCCAGCCCCGCCCCTGATGCGCCTATACAAGAAGGCGGTTCTTCGCGCGCCCGCCCAGTAGGAGCCGGACTCCAAGGTAGAGGTGCGGGCAGTGTGCTGTGACCCCCGCGGGAAGAAGATGAACGGGACGCGGAACTGGTGTACTGTGGTGGATGTGCACCCGGAGGGCCAGACCGCGGTAAGAAAACGCGCCCACACCGCCTTTCTCGCTTGGTGTTCTGTTTCCAATTCCACCCCTCTGGCGCCCCGCGCCGAGTTCGCTGACATCACCTGGTGCCGGCTCCGGCCGTCAGCTCTTCGCTGCCCTTCTTTCTTTCTTTCCCTTGTCCCTGCGGCGGGCAGTGGGAGGCGCAGGATGAGACTCTTTTGAGGCTCGAGGACTGGGGACGTCCCTGTCCTTTGGAAGGACGCTGCAGCTTCTGTTTGGGACCCGCGCGGTGCACTCTGAGGCCGCCGGTTTCATTGCACCTTATTCGGGCGTCCTGTGGGCAGCCAGACTGGACTGTAGGTAGAGGAGCTGAAGGGACCGGATGCCGGCGTTATGTTGGATGTTGGGTCCGGGCGAGGCAGTTAAGCTTTTCCGTGGGTCCTGGTGACCTCAGAGGCCCTTCAAAGAATTTTATGATGCTTTGGGTTATCAGTAACAAGAAAACAGAGTAGAAGGTGAAAGCTTAGGGCTTGGAATGGAGGTTAGGGACGGCTGGGACGGGGGAGGGGAACGGTAGGACAGAAATTACTCCGAGACTGGTCTGGAGTAAGAGGGATAGAGCCTTCCACCTGGTGGTCATGTCTCTTCTTGGATTTGTCCTTCCTACCTCTTGCAGTTGTCCTGCTCCCCTCCCCCTGGGACGATTTGGTTGGTTTTGCTTCCAGCGGTCAAGTCCAGGACAAGTGGATGAAAGGGATCCTTCAGAACTTGGGCTGAGAAGGGAAAGGAAGTGACCCGCAAGAGGGGGTCTGAACCCGCTGAGGGTTGAGGAGAGGGGAGCTTTCTGCACTGCAAGCCAGTCTGCTCTCTGCCCCTCATTTCCTGGCCCCAGCCCTAGTCCTCCCCAAATGACCATATGCTTTTTCCTCTCTAGAGGAAAAGGAGGGTAATTTGTAGCTGAGCATTTCTTGGTTCTGCTGGGGAACCTAACCCAACATAGGTGTGTACTATTTCATCGATTTCCAAGCTATTGTGGGCGAGAGTGAAATGGGAGCCAAGGTGATGCGGCAGTTTGTGTCCCCCTCGCCATCTGATTCCCTTTGCCTGTTTCAGCGAGCCGCTGAAGTAGAGCTGATCCAGCTACCGCTGAATTGTGGCTCTTCTTCAAAGAATCTTTTAGATTAGGTGCTCATTTGAAGTTTAAGTACAGATGATCAACTGGCCAGGCTTATGAGAATTTCTGCTATATTACAAGTCTTGCTGCTGCCCAACCACAGTCCCCCAACCCTCCGCCTTCTCCCTCAGGTATGGAATGCTGAAGAGATAGGAAAAAAAAAAAAAAAAATCCATCCTCTATCTTGTCAGTCCTAAGTCCTTCATACTCTTGCTGCTTTGGAATGCTTGAGGCAAGGAAAGAGGTGCAAGATGAAAAAAGGAGAGGGGGATTTGGACATCTTTTTTTTCTTGCTGTAGAAAGGAGATCCAGAAAGTAATCTAAGACCACAACATTGACAACCCTGAGGATGAATATCATCTTCTGCTATCCCTTGATGTTTTGCTGCTTGTTTTTTTTTTTTTTGAGGGGGGGGGAGGAGGAAGGGCAGAAAGAGTAGGTAGGAAAATAGTGAGGAAGGAATTTAGTCTCAGCTATGGATAAGTTTGAAGGTAACTAGAGACCTCTTTAGCAAGGGGAGACAGAAATTCTCTTGTATTCCTTCTTTCTAGGCTGAACTTGAGGTGGGAATGAAGTAACTATTGCTTAGGTCTGATCTTTGAGATATTCCTGGGCTCTGAAGGAGGGGGCGATAAACAATCAGTCAGTCAGGTGAGACAGGCATTGTCCTGGATTCCTCTCCTCTGAGCCAGCCTACAGATAGAATTTATGGCTCTGGACAGTCAGCAGGAAGCTGTCGTCAATTCATGCCATGCACAAGTGCTCAGAGTGTTTTTTTTTAATTGGTGGTGTAGACAGTTGATTGGTGCAGTCTGTGGGATTATGACCTTGGGATTCTCTTGGTGTTCTCCATCAGCAGGCCATGTGCTGTAGTGCTCCACACATGGACATGGAAATATGGTTGATACCCTCTGGATTGTTTTTATTGCTGGATGCAATAGAGTCAGTGGTAAATAGAGTCAGTGTTTTTCAAAACTGCAAACCACAACCACTAGTAGGTCTGAAATCAACCTACTGGGGCAGAAACATCATAAAAAATAGAATGTGAATTTGAGTTGTTAGGGTAGACTTTTTGGCAGAACTTTTTCAGTATATGTATGTGTGCATATTATATATGTGTGGTTTTTATTGAACTGTGATATAAAATTGTTTTTTAGGTTAGAAATGTTTACGAGCTCCTTTGGTAAGTTACACTGGAACATAAAAATACAAGTAAACCTCAAATTCATTTTTATTAGACATTTCCATGAACTTCCTTTGCTTATAGTAAACAACAGAAAGTGACTCTAGCTTGCTGAGAAGAGAAATTTGTTAGAAGGAAATGGGACAGTGCACAGAATTTCAGGGAAAGCTTAAAAAGACCAAACCAAGGGAGTCCAGGGACCTTAGGTAGGTGGAAGAAACTAATGGGGAGGCTTTCTACTTCTGGGTGAATTAGTTCAGTTGTTTTAGGTCTTTTTGCCTAAGATTCCAGGAAGATGAGGACATTGTCCCCTGACTCTTCTTGGCTAGCAGAAGGGCAAGGTTTCTTGACTGACAAGGCTATAAGATTACCCAGTGAAGGAGGGAGATTTTCCAGAGCAAAACCCAAGTGTTGTTACCAGTGGAGGAGAATGAAAGCCATGTGGTTAAAGAACAGATGTCCATGACATTAGACTTTGGCATCTATGAACTCTGATTTTCCTCCTTCCTTCCTATGATTTTTTTAAATGAAAAATATATGTACATGATTTTTTAAGAAACTAATATCAATTGTCTTTTAAAAGAATGTAGGAGTTCTCTACTCTAAGTTCTGATCCATGGAAATGGATACTTTTAACTCATAGCTATTTTGTCTGGTGTAAGCCTCCATGTTTCTAAATAAAATGCTTATAGTGATATTTCTTGATTTATCAATTTTAGATATCTGTTGACCTCATGTTGTAGGAATTATAGGAAGATTTACACTCCCCCCTTACATGTTCCTTTCCGTGATTCCAGTGTAATTATAATTTTTAGTTAAACTGATTTCTATTAATAGCATTGTGGTTAAGAAAGTGGTTCTGACTAAGGTGGGCTGTAGTCAGGCTCCAATGTTTGCTTTGCCAAAGATTTTTTTTGGTAAATTCATTTCTCCATTCTCATTTTCTTCATCTGTAAAACAAAGATAACAATTATGGCTTTTTATGAGGATTAAGTATGATAATACATATGAAACATTAAGTATAGTGCTTGGCACTATAGATGTTATCTGTTATTTGGTTTACTATTAACTTGGACTAGACTATTTTAACCTTCTCTGGGCACGCTAGCCCATGGGTGGAGGAAGAGTCTGGAGATTCTCTAGCTTGGTCAAGCTTTTCTCCTTCTCATTGTATTGACATATATTCTTATCTGTTCCTTTCCCCTTTCCTCTCAAGGAAAGTCTAGGTCTTTCTGCCATGTAGGGCCCCAGGGGTAATAGGAGCCTATGAACAGAGCCATGGTGAAGACCTGAGTGACCTTTGCTAGTCCTAACTCAGCCAGGTCTGGTCTTTCACAGAGCATTGCTCAGGGTTCTTAATTTGGTATCCCTCTCCCCCTTTTTTTTTTTTCCTGATCTCATGTCCAACACAGCTGGTATACTTTGTTCCTTTGGGCTCTCTGATAAGGTGATTCTCATTAATTCATCAATGTTACCCTTCTTTAGAACATTCTCATTTTTTTTTTAAGACCTCAGAAATTGCCGGGCATTAGTGACTCATGCCTTTAATCCTAGCTACTCAGGAGGCAGAGATCAGGAGGATCTTGGTTTGAAGCCACCTGGGCAAGTAGTTCCAAGAGAACTTATCTTGGAAAAGCCCATCACAAAAAGGGTTGGTGGAACGGCTCAAGGTGTAGGCCCTAAGTTCAAACCTCAGTACTGCAAAAAAAAAAAAAAAAGCTGAAATAGTTTAATACCAAGCCTTCCTGAGCCCCTTTTTATTTTTTTAACTAGAGATGTGGTTTGTTGAAGCTTATCATGATGAACTTCATACATTATAATAGCTTCATTGAAATAGAATTCTTATACAATATGATTTGCTCATTTAAAGTATACAATTCAGGGGTTTTTAGTATATTCACAGAGTTGTGCAGTTATCAATAAATCAGTTTTAGAATATTTTCTTCACTTCATAAAGAAATCCCAACCTATTAGCAGTTACTCCCCTATTCTACCTGCCCCAGCCCTAAGCAACTGCCAGTCTGTTCTCTTTCTCTATGATTTTACCTATTCTGGACATTTCATATAAATGTAACCTGATAATATGCAATCCTTTGTGACTGGCTTTCAATTTGCATGCTGTTTTTAAGGTTCATGTACATCATAACATGTATCAGCACTTCACTCATTTTTCACACTAAATAATATTCCTTTGGCTGTAACCACACAGTGTTGGGTGTTTTTTTTTTTTTTTTTGTAGCATTGGAGTTTGAACTCAGGGCCTCACACTTGCTAAGCAGAGGCTCTTACAGCTTGAGCCACTCCAGCAGTCCTTTTCTGTGATTTTTTGTTGTTGTTGTTGTTTTATTACTCATATGTGCATACAAGGCTTGGGTCATTTCTCCCCCCTGCCCCCACCCCCTCCCTCACCCGCCACTCTACCCCATCCCTCTCCCCCTCACCCCCTCAATACCCAGCAGAAACTATTTTGCCCTTATTTCTAATTTTGTTGTAGAGAGAGTATAAGCAATAATAAGAAGGAACAAGGGTTTTTACTGGTTGGGATAAGGGTAGCTATACAGGGAGTTGACTCACATTAATTTCCTGTGCATGTGTGTTACCTTCTAGGTTAATTCTTTTTGATCTAACCTTTTCTCTAGTTCCTAGTCCCCTTTTCCTATTGGCCTCAGTTGC